CCCTCGAACGGGTCCAGTTCCGGCCCGGGGGAAGGGGAACGTCTCCGTGACGGGCAAAAGTCTGTCGGGGTTTCAAGCGGACGTTCCTCTCCCAAGGAGCGGACGGCAGCAGGATGTTCCCCCCAGGCTGGGGTCCGCAGGGTGCTTGCTGCCAGGTCCCACCGTGGGTTTTGCATGACGGTCTACTCGTGTGAGCCGTCATGATTTGGCCCAGTGATCAGTTATTGAAATAACTGATAGCGCCTCGGGTGTTGCCACTCGTTCGCCTTTGTGCCGTTAGATCGTTGTCCTGGTCTGCTCTGGAGTACATCACACCCTCGTGTGCAGGAGTCTCGGGGTACTTTTTCGGTGTTGGGGAATTAAATAAACTGGTTTGTACCGAGCAACTTGCTCGAGTTTGTAACGATTCTGAATTTGGGAGCGCAGCCCAGATGGATCTTGAGCTTCAACGATCAGCTCGTGCTCCCTATCTGAAAAGTCAGGTCTTAGTAATTTGAATCCTGCCTGTTGCTTTTTTAATTAAAAAAAATTTTTTTTTGTTTGTTTTAATTCAGCTGGGGCAGATGGCTGAGCCTGCATCCTGATGACTCAGTTACTTGATTTGCTTCTCACAGTAAAGGGCAGCGCTTCTTGGGTGTATGCAGGGAAGCACTTGCTGGGCTCGTGTTTTAAAAGAAAAAAAAATAGCCCTATATGGCACAGTGAGTGCCAGTTATCTGGCATTTCTTTCAGGGAGTTACTGGGTCAATTTGCTGTTTCTTTTTTTCGTTTCACTTTATCTCCTTCAGGTTGCGTTTTGGCTCCCCAGTGCTTCATTTTGCTTCCTTTTCTTCCTCGTGACTGTGGCGAGAGCTGCTGGCAGTGTTGCAATTGCTCCAGCTTTGGTGGCTCTTCCTCTTTGTAGCAGTTGTCTGTGTGTCCAGCGTGATGTTTTGCACTGGGGAAAGACGCTTTTGTTGCCTCCTGCTCATTTCTCACAAGCGGACACCTATGCTTGCTATGGTGTTGTTTTTGTCTGGGAGCACCTTTTAGTAAGTCAGGTGAGATGTTAAGCATCCCGACGTCCCACGACCTTCCTGGCAAAGAGAGGTAGTGACTCTTGGACTCGTATTGGATTTTTCTATAGTGTAAGGTGAGGAAAAGCAAAAGCTTTGAGAGCCCAGGCTTGATTTGGGACAAGTTGTAATTGTTTATTGCCCCTCTACTTCTTCATGGTAGCACCGGTGGTGTGTATAGGATGAAACGTAGTAAATTCCCTGGCTGCTTTCGCTGAGGCAAACGTTGCAAACGTGGAGCCAGCACGGAGGAGTGCTTAATGCCTGCGTGGGTCTGCAGGCAGCCTGAAGAGCTGTATCTGAGAAACATGAAATGCTCCATTCATCAAAAAGAGCTAGTAGTTCTGCTTCCCAATGTTTTAAATGTCAGCGTGAACTCTGTCGCTGCTGATGAAAGCAGAGAAGGGTGACGGCACTGGAAACTACTCTGCTTCATCTCGACTGTATCATGCTTTGATAAAGACAAGCTTGAAACACTGAGAAGAACTGTTTGGCTTGTTTTATTTCCTAAGTCCAAGCCTGTAAGTAGCAATAGAAATAAATTTTGATACGATAGCTGCAAAGACCCCTTTTGTTTCTTTTTGCTGCTAGGATCTAAACTTAACATGGCTAGTATAATTATTCCTGTTGTCCTGTCCCTGTCAGAGGGAAATATGACTGTCACATCACTTGGATCTTGTGATCACCGGGTCAAGGTCCGTGTGCATACTCAGCACTTCCTGTACACCCTGCTTTATGTGGAACTCAAACTACACATGCTTAATTTTAGGGTTTTTTTCCCCCCCGCCCTTGCCTTCCTTTTTATCCCCATGAGTGATTAGTAATAGCAGGCAATGGAAATCCTGTATGGAAAGAAATAGTTTCTATCAACAGAGAAAATAAAGAAATAGTTTTCTTGCTGTTTTAGAAAGCTAGTATGTCAATTCAACAAACAGGCATACTGGTTGAATTGCAGAGGCTTAAGGGGACTTCATCATCTTTTCCCAACTTGTTCAAAGCGTGCTAAGGCAGAGCTGGTCTGATCAGCTAGACTCTCAGTGGCATGAGTGCCCCATGTTCCCAAACCAGGTCCTCCTAAAACTCCCCAAAGATTAGTGTGCTGTTCCCTTTTGCCTTCTGGGAAGCTTGTGCCAACTGATAAACTTTACAGCCTCATCTCGTGGGTGTTGCTTCTGGCCGGTGGCAGAACACAGAAGCGTTGCAGTTGTGATGTGTGCCCCAAAAAAAACCTGCTGAGCGGAGGGCCAGCAACCACTCTCCCAAGTGGGCTAACCCCAATGGCAGCTGTTGTTGGCGTTACGTTGTGACAGGCAGTTGCAAATTGCCAGGGTTTGAAAACGTTTTAGAGATTTGTAGGCTATGTCCAAACTCTCAGTTCCTTCTGGACTTCCGACATGAAATCAGAAACTAACTGAACTTAGAAGAGACATATAAAGGTCAGTGGTCAACCCCCTGCTCAAAACAGGGCCAACCTGGTTAGAGCCAACTTTGAAGTTGGGTCAGGTTTTTCAGAGCTGTGTCCAGCTGAGTTTGTGATATCTCCGAGGACGGAGAAATGGGCCCCTCCAGGTGAAGAATTTTTTTTCCTTATCTCTAGTTGGAATTTCCTTTGCTGCTTCTCCCTTGTCTCCTGTCCTTTAGCTGAGCGCCTCAGAGGGGTGTCTGAGAGAGTGTGCCTCAGGACCCCATGTGAGGCTCATGCCAGGACCCATCATCCCGGATGGCTTATCACCACTAGCGACCGTTGCTTAGCTTGTTTGTCTTCTAATCCATGACAATAACCAACTACCAATTTGGCCTTGATAGTGTTGTTTGCAACCATGAACCTCAGACATCGGGTTTAATAGGTGATTGATTGCTGCCGTGCTTGCCTACCTTGTCTTCTAGGCTTGGTACCGCTGGTGCCTGCCTTCTCCTTAGTTCAGAAAGCTGTGAGGAGTCACGTGCATGCGACTGGGTTTTAGCATAAGCTTTCTTGGAAACTTTGTTCTGCTATACCTTCTGCCAGCTCCCCTTCCAGCTGAGGAGTGTCCAGAGCTCATTCAGGCTGGGTTTATCCTGCTGGTGCTTGCCATGCTCTCAGCGTTAGACGGCTTGTGCTCGGTGGTGTCTCCCTGCGCAGGTTTAACAAGGTATGCGGTGATGGGACCAGTATAACGGGCTGTGCTTAGCAGCGCTTGTCTTATTGCTCGTCAGTCAGTTGTTTCCTCTCAAGGCTGCTGAAAGGACAGTTGATGCTTAATAGAAAATTCAGAAATGCCTTCACCTTGGAGACAGACTTCATCATCCCGGCTCAGCCTTGGGAGAGCAGAGCTGTGGCTATTGCTCTGCTCCTGGAGACTGCTGGTTAAATCCCTCCATTTGGGTGGAGATGAGAGAGGAAGAGGTTGGGAAATACTTATCCCAGGAAGATCCCTAGGGGAAGAAGAAAAAAAAGGGTATTTCCCAAATGTCAAGGCCTGAGTGTGGCTGTTCCTGGTGAGCTGCCATCTTGCCAAATGAAGGGAGCAGACCTTGCTGCTGTGCTCGGCATGCCAGCTCGCACCTTTGTGAGGTTGCCTTGGCTACCGGCTCGTCTGTAACTGAACAGAAAACTTAAGTCTGAGGAATATTTTTCCCTTCTGCCTTCTCTCCGCAGAAGTTTTGCCATGCCTTCATGGAAACGTCTGTGGTTCCTGGCTCCTGCAAGCTTCAGAGCGTGTGTTGTCTGTGTTTTACCCCAGTGCTGGCTGTGCCAGGGTCTCTCTGAAGGCCGCTTGGTGTCTGACTTATGACCAGACTCACTCAAAGCTAAGCTTTTTAGGTTTCGGGGACCGTTTTGTGCCGTTCCTGGGAGTAACGTGGCTTTGAGGGCTGTAACGGCATAGATGTGTACCTTGACTGTGATCAGCAGGGTCCCTGCTGAGCTAACCTGCTCTCTTGCTAGTTGGAGACTGCCACGGGCTGACCCGTGCTGCTCAGGAACAGGTCAACGCCTCCCTTTGGCATTGGGGGAGCGTCTCCCATGGACTCCAGGGAGGACTTGGGGCTGCGCAGCATCATTGAAAGTGCTTCTTCAGATAGGGAGGAGTGGCCAGAGCTCCTGCTTGGGGTCCAAATGTGGCTGGATTTTTTTTGGTAGCTGCTGCACATAGGACCTGCTCTACAGAGTGCTGAAGTCTATCAGGATCCTCTCTGTGCTGGGCTAGCTTCACGAGGCCTTACAGTGACACCTAACAGCTCAACTTTGCAGTATGCTTGGATTCATTCTCTGCCTTTTTTTGCTCTACAGGATTTGTTTGCATTTTTTGAGAAGTATGGATAGCATAGGAGAGCTCTTTGGCTTATACTTTTTTCTGCCCAAGGTAGGGAGAGTTTAGAAACATAAAGTTCTTCCCCCCGCCCCGGCAAAGACTTGGGTAGTTGTGGCTGTTGCTTAGAGCAGGGCCTGATGTCAAGGGCGCTTTGGGAGCTGCTGCTAAACCAGGCTCTGATGTCTCTCCTTGTGCGGTGTGGTCCTTTCAGCTGCCACTGGGAAGCCTATCCTTGGGGCTTCCTCACCAGCAGGCCTTCTCTGTGCTGAAGGTGGGGATCTGCTCACGTGGTCACGGTTTCCTGTGTCAAAAGAAATGCCTACTGAACACCCTAGGACCTGACCTGGGTTAAAGAAGGGGTGCCAGTTTCTGTCATGTGTATTAAAAGCTATGCTCAGTCCAGATGGTTCTGCATCTCCATCACTAGCGGGGCTGGAAGGAAGGCAGTGGACTTGGGAAGCCGGGAGAGAGCCAAGGGGGCTTAACGGCTGCCGCCTGTGTGTTGCAGGGAATGAGCAACCCTGGGAGAAGCCCTGTGCCCAGCTCCTGGTCTCTGTGGCCACTCCAGGTTGTGATGGGTTCCCCAGCCTGGACTCCAAGGAGAGCTGTGAGTATTGGGGTTTGGAGCGGGAGTGCAGATGTCTCTGCACCCGTTAGTTGCAACTGGTGCCATACAGCACTTTGTGCTTCCCCCGAATTGAGGGTGTCCTTGCTGTATTGGGGCCGGGAGGGAGTGACTTACCTGAGGTTGCTGATAAGACAGCGGGAGAGGCAAAATAATAAATAACTCCCCAGCTTCCTGGGATCCCAGGGTGCAGTCTTCTATCAAAACCGCTGCCTGGTCCAGCTGCAGCCATGTAGCTGGGGCTGTCATGCCTTGTCGCAATGTGTAATGGAGCGTGGGACCTAATGCCTAGGCTGGCCTGTCTCATGCTGTGTTTCAGATAAGCTTGTCGTCTCGGAGGACTCCTTGCTGCTGTCTGCAGATGCTGTCTGGGGAGCTCTCAGAGGTGAGATGTGTTTAGCATTTGGGAGTAACGGACCTTTGATGGGCTTTCCCACTCTCCCTGCCTATGGGGCGGCTCTCTGTGCCTCTCTTTTCTATCGACTTTTGTTAATAGTCCTCAGTTCTTTTGGGGGGATCTGCTGAGAAAGTAACTGTGTGATTTTTCCCACAGGCCTGGAGACATTCAGCCAGCTTGTTGGGAGAGATGAGGATGGCACGGTGAGTGGGAGGCTTGCGTGCAGGCAGGCTAATGTGAGCTCTCACAGTGATACGAGTCCTGACCTTGCCTTATGGGGGCAAGCTGTGCTTCGGGGCAGTGAGCCAGCTCTCCCTAATGCTCCTGCCTTCAGGGGTATGGGCTAAGGATTGCTGGGGGACTTGGGGGCTGGTGGGTTTCCAGCAGGGCAGCACAGCCCTGTCATATCAAGGGCCACATGGTGATTCACGAAGGCAGAGTCCAGCCAGATCGCTGCCTTCTGAGCAGGTAAAGTGCTGTGGCTCTTTCTGGCTGGCTTGTGCTGTGGGGTTGCGTGCTGGGCAGTGAGGATACCCTTCCTAGTCCTGCTGGCCCTGGGGGCAAAGGTGACCCTGATTCTCCCCTGTTAATGGCTGTGTTGCCTTAGAGCCCTTCTCACTTCTTCCTCGTGCGCTCTGTGTGCAGTACTACGTCAACAAGACAGAGATTGTGGACTTCCCCCGCTTCCGTCACCGAGGCTTGTTGCTGGACACCTCTCGTCACTACCTGCCTCTGAAAGCCATCCTGGAAACACTGGTAGGGTACCTGTGCGGTGGGGCGTGTGTCCTGCCCTGCTGACAGCCAGTCGAGCACTGTCTGGGGGAGAGAGCGAGTTAGCTGGGTGTCCCTTCTCTGGGATAGGCAGGGGCTCCCTGGGTGGCTGGGAGGCCTTTTGTTTGCGTTGGTCCTTTCCAAAGATCACAGGAGCCATCTAGTGAGAGCCAGCCATACAGCTGGACATAGGGCAACCATCCACAGCTCATCAAGGAAGAGCTTGTCAGATCTAGGTGTTTTGAAGAAAACCAGCCTGCGTGTCTCTAGGTGAAGCAGCAGGGTGGGGTGGCATGGCAGCATGACCTCAATTCTTGTACGCTGGTCTGCCTCCTGCAAAAATGCTTCCATTCTGCAGGCCCTTCTTAGTGCAGTGCTCTGCGCCCGTGGCTCCGTTTGTGCCCAGTGTAAATTGCAGCTGCCTCAGGTGGGCGATCACTTCACTTGGTATGTGGGAGAAGGAAGAAAATCCTGAGGTATCTTAGCTCCCTGCAACCCAGTTTACTTTCTGAAGCCAGATTGTTTCCAAGGCAAGGGAAAAGCTAGCTTCTTCCCAGTCATGTTAGACAAAAGTGGGTGGTGGTTCTGCCCTCATCTTGAGCAGAATTAAACATCCAAGTCTCAATCACTGGCTTACTTACATGGAGAAACAGGGAGATTTTACGGTTGGCAGGAGCGCTGCTGGCCTTCTGCAGCTCTTTGCAGTGCTCGTGTGTTTGACAGAGAGGTGTCTGCATGACTCCTGGAGCCTCGGGAGCATCTGGGGACACTCTTTATATGTTTGCCTTGTCCCTCTGGAGTGCAAGTACCTGGCGCGCCTCAGGCCCTTTCTGCGACAGGCTGGCTGACCTTTCAGACAGGGCAGGGCATGTTCACCTGTGTTCCTGTTGCTTCCTAGGATGTCATGGCTTACAACAAGTTCAATGTCTTCCACTGGCACATTGTGGATGACCCATCTTTCCCGTACGAGAGCGTGACCTTCCCAGAGCTCAGCAAGAAGGTAATCCATCTTGTTCATTGCGCAGCTCCCCACTGAGCATGGGGAGTGCTGATCACCCCTATACTAAGGGAGTGAGGCACTGTGACTCCTTGTGTTTCCCCAGGGAGCCTTCAATGCCATCACCCACGTGTACACAGCTAGTGACGTGAAGACGGTGATTGAGTATGCCCGGCTCCGTGGCATCAGAGTAATCGCAGAATTTGACACTCCTGGTCACACCCTTTCATGGGGTCCAGGTAAGGAGCAGAATGTGCCTGGGGCCCCGTCCACGGGTGCAGGTGTGAGGAGAGCTGCAGTCGTGTCGTGGGGAGAAAGGGTCTCTGCAGCCTGGATCCCAATAGTGGGCTGTGGACAGCTGTGTCCCACAGGCGAGCTCAGGGGAGGAGCAGGCTGCGGGCTGGGGGAAGTAGGGTCCAGCGTACAACTTCCAGAACAACATCCAAAGGGAAAATGTTTCCATCTCTTCTTGGGTTCCAAGCTGAGTGCTTTTTTAGAACGTTCGCTCTGTCAAGATTCAACCTCGTGGGGTATAGCAAGGATCCTGGGTTTAACTGAGGACCCAGCTGACCCGGCTTCCTCACTCTGCTCAGCTGCTGAGTCCTGATCCATTTGCCCCCTGCTTTTAAGAGCTGGGAGTACCGTCCCAGTCCATGTCTCACAGGAAGCGTGAGGAGCTCCAGAAAGTGCTACCTTGTCTTCCTCTTTCCTTCCCCTCCCTCCAAATGGCCCACACTGGAGTACGCACTGTGCATGTGGTCTCAGCCAAAACTGTGGCTGCCTCTCCTTCCCTGTCCACAGTGGATGCACTGAACAGGGAGCAGGTGCTGGGGACTGCACCGGCCTTATCTTTTCCCAACAGCTGTGCGTGTGGTTTCCCCTAGGAATCTCCATAAAGGAATGGGGCCACGGCTGGGCTAGCTGGAACGAAGGGTGCAGAAATTTGGTATGGGAGGGGAACAACAGGGCCGTGTCTGCTTCTTGTCCTTGCAGTAATCGTTGCAGGAAAGAAGGGGTGTCTAGTATAAGAGGCTTGAGCCCTGTTGTTCTCGCTGAGGAACGTGTGTCTGGGGCAGCGACCGCAGATGTGGGTGGGGGCAAGCAGATCTCTCCTGATCAGATCAGACTTTCTGAGCTACAGATCGCGTTTCTGCTGCCATGGTTATGCCTTGTGCGTTGTGCCTAGACCTTCTGTCCCTGGCAGGCACTGGGCCATGCTGAGGAGGGTCTGGGTGGCTATACAGGGAAAGATGGGTGTGCTTAACCCCTTCCTCACTGTACTGGGTTTGTTGTGACGCAGGTGCTCCAGGCCTCCTGACTCCCTGCTATTTGGGCAAGAATCTTTCTGGGACCTATGGGCCCATCAACCCCATCCTTAACAGCACGTACGAGTTTATGACCAGTTTCTTTCAAGAGGTCAGCGCTGTGTTCCCAGACTTCTTTCTTCACCTCGGTGGTGACGAGGTGGACTTCACGTGCTGGTGAGTGATGCCCCATCTGAAGTCAGTCTGGACAGGACCTGGGGGGAGTGCAGATCACAGGATCCAGTTCAGCTAGGGAAGTGTCTGGGACTAGGGTCTGCAACAGGATCAGTGCTCTGTTGCCTAGGCACCCGGCATGTGCTTAGGGATGGATGACGAGTGCCTGAAAGAACAGCCACCCGAAAAGATTGGGAGAGGCAGGGCAAGAGTGGAGGGTTATTTGCATGTAAGAGGGAGCCAGTGGGCACAGGATTCTTGCATCCTATCCCATCAATCCTTGGCCGTGCTCGTCTGCGGATCTATGGTCTCCCGCTTCATTAGGCAGAGAGAGAGGCTGTGTGTGTTGCTGCGTGGAGTTTCTGTCCTCACAGTGACGCTGGCTCTGGGAAGCCATGGGTGTTAGCGCACCCACAGCTCTAGGAGTACCTGGGCCAGCCTGGGGCAAGCACGGGAAGCCTGGGCCATGTCTGGCCTTACTCCAGAGCTCTGGGATGCAAAGCTTTTATTCCCTTCTCTCTGGCATACAGGAAGTCCAATCCAAAAATCCGTGCCTTCATGCAGGAGATGGGATTTGGTGACGATTTCACAAAACTAGAGTCGTTCTACGTCCAGCGGTAAGGTTGGCTGTGTCCGGGACCTGTAGCTGCAGTATATGACCAACGAAAATGTCTTCTGCTGTCATGGGGACCCTGTATCTCCTTTGCAAGGACACATACCTTTGGGCATGGCTCCTTGACCCCAAAGGGAATAGCCTGGCCACGTTTTATTGGGAGAGCATGAGGCCTGAAGGGAGCCCTGTGAGGGGCCAGAGTTTCTCCCTTACCCTTCTCCCGAAGTACTTCCGTGTCTTGCTGTGGGTGTTGGGAAAAATTTGATGCTTCTGCTTTGGCTATGTGCAGCTGGCAAAGAGAGGGGATTGTAGGTGGGAGGATCTGAAACTCAGTACCGTTTCCGTTCCAGGCTTTTGGACATCATCTCTTCCTTTGGCAAGGGTTACGTGGTGTGGCAGGAGGTGTTTGACAATGGAGTGAAGGTGAGAGCTGCCTGCTTTCCCTAAAGGGATTCCCTGTGCCTGGGCAAGCAGCGCCAGTGCCCCTGCGGGGCTCTCTGGTGTGCTCTGGGGATGCCGTGCCAGTGCTGGCAGGAAGTACCCTGAGGGGGGATTGAGGTTGCTCTTGACACGGTGCTGGCAGGGAGCCCTCTGCCCTCCTGCTGGCTTTGTCAGACTGCTGTCAACGGGCTCTTTCCTCCAGGGTCTTGTATACGTACTTGCAACAGGCAGGTTTTAACCCTGCCCAGAACAGGCTTTGCAAATAGTCTTTTTCCCTTCCTAAGAGCAGCAGCAGTTACTCGCTTGGTCTGCCCCCAGTCTCCTCAGCAAGGAATTTGTGTTGGTGTCACTTGAGCCAAGCACTATCCTGCTGTTAAAGCTGCCCTGTCTGGCTAGGAAGGTGCCTGGGGGGTGCTGCTGGCTTTTGCCGGCTCACTTTTCTCCGTTTGAGTTCTGTCATTCAAGTGGCTTTTGGGAGCTGCAGTTTTGTGAAGGAGGCCTTGGGCTGAGGCCGCAACGCAGCAGAGATGCAGCATTTGTGCTGCCCCTGTGACCATAGTAACCTTGGTCCGTGGCTTTTGTCCTTGCTGCAGGGTAGGGAAGTGCTCTTGTCCCCTCCTGTAAGCGGGGCCCTGAGGGCAGAGGAGATTCCACCACTTCCTGCGGACCGTGAATAGCTCTGCTGTAACCAGTCCTGGGCTGTTTCTGGGGCAGGACCCTGGGCAGAGTAGCGGGAGGTGGATGTTCAGGGGAGGCATTACACAGCAGAGGTGTGGATGGTTTGGGGACACCGCTTGTGAGGGGAGGTGGTACTCAGTTGCCGCACTGATTCTGCGCACGGTGTTCACGTGTGCTTGTGCTGTGGGGCCAGGTGAGGCCAGACACAATCGTCCACGTGTGGAAGGAGAACTCCACGCCGTACATGCAGGAGATGGCGCAAGTCACCAAGGCTGGCTACAGGGCTCTGCTCTCTGCTCCCTGGTACCTCAACCGCATCTCCTATGGGCAGGACTGGATGCAGGCCTACCAGGTGGAGCCTTTGCAGTTTGAAGGTGCGTTCCTTGCATCAGGTTCCCTTATGGCAGCTGACTTGTCTCTCAGAGGTAGTGCCAAGTCTGGCCCTCTTGCTAATCCGTTTTCACTGCTGATGTGAAGGTGCTCGAGTGACCCTGTCCTTGGTTCCCGTGCTATGTGCTGTTTCCTAGCTGCAGGCAGAAGAAAATTCAGCTGTCCCTCAGCCCACGCTTTGAAGCAGGGACTTCCAGAAGGGCAAGCTAAACTCTCCGTAGCTGAGCCAGCTCACTGCTGTTACAGGTGCCTCTGTGGGCAGGGCAGTAAATCACACGTTCTCTTTCAATACCTGGTCCTCTGAATGGTGTCTCCTCTGGCAGGCAGCCCCGAGCAGAAGGATCGGGTGATCGGTGGAGAGGCCTGCATGTGGGGTGAATATGTGGATGTCACTAACCTGACCCCCAGGCTCTGGTAAGAGAAGTCCTGGGGAAATTAGCTCGAGTCACGTGGGCAGGGCTCAGACCTGTTTCCTTCAGCACTGAGTTACGTGCACCAAATTCGGGCAGTTTGGTCTCCTAATGGTACTTGACTATGTCCCCGACAACATGTCTATGGTAGTAGGAGCTTCACTGAGGCTTAAACTAGGGTTTTTGGCTGTCTGTAAGACTGAAACAGGCTCCTGTAGAACCTGCTGCTGCAACCAGTACATGTTTAATCCTGGTCTCTGTCCTGTCGTCTGGACGCATCCTGATCTGCATGCGTCTGGGAATGGATCTTCCCGTATGAAGAAGCCATGTGCTTTATGTTGGAGGACTTGGGTCAGGACCTGGCCCCCTGTGTTTCTCCAGACCTCCCTGCGTTTTAACTGGAAGGGCTCTCCTTTGCCTCTCTACTGTTGTCTAAGGGTGAACTATCCTCTAAACGTGAACTACGCTCTCTCTGGCTCTGTGGATTGTGAGCCAGGCGCTCTCAGAGCCGGGCCTATGCTCATGTTGGCAGTGTTCGTGGTCCCGCTTACAGAAAGCACAGCCCCCTGGGTGTGTTGATGCCCTTACCAGTGGGGAAAGCTGCCTGGGCCTTGTGAGTAATGAATCCAACTTCCCTCAATTGACACCTGCATCTCCAGAGGCAGTTTCAGGTCTTAAATCGGAGCAAAGCATATGGGAGCTCAGAGGTCTCTGCGGGAAGTTTTTGAACTCCCCTCCGAGCTGAGTGTGTCTGTCCCTCGTTCCTTCAAGGCCGAGAGCTGGGGCTGTAGCCGAGAGACTTTGGAGTAACGAGACAGTGAGGAACCTGCAAGATGCGTACGTGCGGCTGGCCAACTTCCGCTGCGAGCTCCTCAGGTAACTGTCCCTCCTGCAGGGAGCTTGAAGAGGGGCCAGCTTGGGGGGACAGCGCAAAAGACATCCTCTCTGGCATTCAGCTCTAGGGAGACCCTGGGGACGGCAGTGAGGGTAACGGTGTGGGATGTGAGGATGAGGTGGTCTTTCCTGCTGTGAAATGACCCTTGTTCTTACTGAAACTCCCAGGCGTTTCTCATGCCTGTGGGTGGGCAGAGCTTGCTTTGTGCAGTGCTGCAAGAGGGCCCCTGCCGTCAGCGTGGGCTGGTGGCTGTGCTGAGCAGAGGGTTTGCGATGGGGAAGGGGCACCCGTCAGAGCCGCCACCTCTCCTGCATCACCGGGCTCTAGTCCGTGACCCTCGCTGTTCCTGCAAGCGGCAACCAGACCCCACCCTGCCTCTGTAGGGGAACTGCCCTTATGCCTTGAAGGGATCAAAAAAAAAAAAACGTGATCTGAGAGTGCAGGATGAAAAGCGCTCTGTCCTTGAGCGTATCGCATCTGAAATGGGGTGCTGATGGCTAACTCGTGCTCCTCTAACCACTCGGAGCCTAACCATGGGCTCTTGGTGCCCCCTCTGTAACGGCTGTCTTTGCTGTGTTCCAGGCGTGGTGTCCAGGCTCAGCCGCTCTTCGTAGGATACTGTGATCATGAATTCAGTGGATTTTGAGTGGAGAGTCCTGCTGCCCTCACCCTCTATGCACACAGGAGGAATGATCTCTCTCCCTCTCTCTCCCTCTCTCTGTCCCTCCTGCAAAAGCTGCTGGCATGTTAAAGGGACTTCCCTACTTTTGCTCTTGTCTTGTTGCAATGAGCAATTTTTTATTTGATTGTGCACTCTTTGCCTTTTCCTCTATTCTTATTTGTTCTTTTAAATCTATAAGGAAATGACCTCAAAGAGAAAAGGTGCCTTTCCATGCTCTGTTGGGGCTTGGCAGAGTGTGCAAGGATTTTTGCTGTCAATCAGCTTGCTGTCGGAGATGCGCCTCGTCCCTGTGGCTCTGCAGCTGAACGTGTGCATCTCGGGGACTGCAGCCCCACAGTGCCAAACTCCCGAGTCGCTTTTTCAGGTGCATTTTCCCCTCCCTCCAAACAGAACTGCAGACTCTGCCTCGCGTATGTGCTGAGTACGCTACTGCCAGTATAGTAGGCATCTGCTCCTCCTTCTGGCCCAGGCCTTGGGTCAGGGCCTGGGGTTAGGACCTGGCCTGCCATACCAGCTACTGGTGCTGCTGTAGGCAGCCAGGCTGCCTGGCTTGCGAGATGTCTGCTCCGCTGGATAAATTGTGTTTAGTCTCTGCCAATATCACAGGCTTCATCCCTGCTGAGGGAAAGGGAGTCTCTAGTCACGCAGTAGCATGGGGGCGGGGGGAAGGCTAGTCTTGCAGGCCAAGGTTAGCTGTGGACTCGCCTGGGTTTTTGCCTTGACCCTGACTGTTCCCAGCTGACAAAGCACTACCTATGCTGGGATGTCACTGGGCAAGAGCAACCGACCTTGGATTTCCTTCTGTAGGAGGCCTTGCCCTCCATACACCAATGGTCAGTGTTACCTGTTGGTTTCTGTCCTTGTCTCTGTTCTCCTTGTGCTCCCCCAACTGTTCTGCCTGTCTGCAGGCAGGAGGCTTGTCTTCAAGGCACCATCTCTGCTGCCCTAAACCCTGTCTGCTGCCACCTCCTTCTCTGGCTTCTTTTGAGAAGAGGAGACTCTGAAGCCCCTTGGAGGAAACCTCCCAAACCCACTGTGCTGCAAGCAGGGAAGCTGGATTCAAGGATGTTATCGAGTCACCGTTCAGCCCCTCCATCAGCTGTCTCCCCCTGCTCAGGACTCAGCCAACTTACCCATCCTTGCGCTGCTGCCCTGTCCTCAGGTGGGCTCCACGGCAGTTCTCCTGTGTCCAAGTGGTTTGGTTTGGAGGGTAGGTTCCTTGGAGAAGAGACTGGTGTTGCTGCATTGCTGGTCAGAGGAGCTGGGGCAGTCTCAGTTCTTGTCCTATGATGGTTGGGGTTGCCCTGCTGGAAACTCAGTTCAGCCCCGGGGCGGGGATTTCTCAGGGAGAGATCCTGCACAACAGGAATGTTGTGTGCGTATCTGGGTGTTGAATGAGAGTGAGATCTGCTGTTAGCCCTCTGTTATGGCTGGAAACTTTATTATTGTTAATTTTGAAATAAAAATGTTACACTATTTGCCATTTCAGTATTTCTTTACTCTCCTGCAACGGGATGCCCAAACAGTACTCGTTTGAAGTGATATGCAAAAACCACTTCTGTTTTCATTTTTTAAAAATGTGGAGCCCAGCCACAGTGGAGCAGAGCAGCTTAGCTGATTGCCAAATTTGGGGGCAAGAGGGATTTTTCTTTCCATTTTTCTTTTCCTCTCCATCAGAGCGGCTGGGAGCACAGCGGGGTGGGAAGGGCTGCCTTCCTGTGCACGGTCTCCTAAGTGGAGAAGCTCCTCGGCTTCCTCCAAGTTCCTATGGGGAACTCGCAGCGTCCCTTCTCTCTGTGCTTTTTGGTCATCGGTGCTCTCCTGGCCGTGTGTTTAACGTGGCATGTTGAAGGAGAAGGTGGAGGGAAGCCTGCTGGGGGTTTAAACCTCTCGCCTGCTCTGGGGATTGCAATGCTTGGTGCTTCAGCTGTGCCTTCAGCGAGAAGCCCAGCGTAGACCGGCCAAGGTGCCCTGGAAGTTAGGCTAAGTGGAGCGAGCCAGGATTGCCAGTCTGCCCGCCTGTCACTCTTGGCATATTTGTTTCCCTTAAATTGAGTAACACAAAAGACATAAATAATAATAGCTGCTTCATTGTGCTGGGGTTTGATGTGCTGTCAAGTGCTAAAGAGCTCCGAAAGGATGGTATAATTAGAGCTCCTTGTTCCGTGTGAGACTTCTCATCGGTAAATGCTGATCTGTTGAAACTTTGCAGAAGCGTCTCATCCCCATGAGACTGTTGAGGAGAGGTTTGCATGCTCTGAAAGATGTTTCTGGTCAGAACAGGGACAGCCAGCAGCTCCCTCCCTGCCTAGGCCACCTACCTGCACCTCAGCGCTTCAACCTGAGCCTGCTGATGCGAGCGAGTGTCCCGATTCCTGGATGCGTTTTCGGGGTTGGCTTTGGAAATGCCTCAGTTCTGTGTTGTCCTACAGCAGCATAGGAACAAACGGCAGCGGAGCGGAGGCCTTTCTTCTGGCCCGTGCTGGTATCCTCCAGTGTTTTAGACTCCATGAAACATTGATTTAGCAGCCACTGAGGCTGATTAAAGTTTAAAGTGAATGTACAAAAGGTAGTAGGTGTGATGGGGAATGTTTTTCCAAAGAAGCGGTATGTGATAACAGCAACTCCGTAGCTGCTTGGACGTGCTGAGAGGGATGACAGGTGTCTACGTCCCTCCTGCAACTGCAAGTAGAGCTGTCGCCACCAGCTTCTCCCCTGCCCGTAGCCACGACAGGAGTCAGCCACGTTACGTGAAGGGCGCGTGCTATCAGACACGGTCACGACTCGGGGCAAGCGAGCGCACCAAAGAGATCCTGGCCACCTTCCTTGGAGACGCCTGAGCGTCTGCTGTGTTGAGGCACGCGGCAGCGGGTTCCCGGCCGCCTCTGCTGCAGCTACGCCGTTGCCACGGGGGAGGGCAGCCGAGCCTATTTTCCC